ATCAATAAAAAAAAAAAAATTTTTTTTAAAAGTTAACAGCTTTTATGTGTACCGACAGAAAGATCATGAAATAAATTAAAGCTAAAGAAGAGGAACTCTTTACTGTGGTTAGGGGTGTTTTGTTGTGTTAAAAGGGAGAAAACATTGTGTGAAGGAAGAAAGAAGGAAAAAGGCGACAATTCCAGACACCCTTTTGAGATTAATCTTGATCTGCGGTTGATTCAGTGTGTTTGGGTGGAAATGGGTGGATGGATACTGAACCTCAGGCAGGAGCTGCAGGATGGCGGTGGACAACAATGTTCCAATGGACAGAGCGATGAAATAGACGAGTATTCTGCGCATGAACCGCGTCCTCATCAGGGGCACCACAAACACACCAGTCAAAGCGAACGCACTAACCAGAGTCACACTCAAAACTGAGTAACCCCACACTGCAGGACACACACACACACACACAACCGTTAATTACATGACATTACACCCCAGCAGACACATCCCATAACTTTTGTGTGCATGGATTATAATGTAGACTTCAGTCCGGCAGCACTGCTTTGTTACCATTTAACCCAGTCGGCCTGGAATCCCTGGAAATACATGATATCTGTCATAAACACACTCCTGAATGGACACGCATGCAGTTTGAGAGAGAATGTCATTATGTGGGAGTGATCCGCGGCAGGTCATATATAAGCTGGCTTTCTCCAAAACCACAGAGCTGCATTTGTTTACAGCTGAGAACAGCTGTCAGCACTTTACCTACAGAGGAAGAAAATCATTCGTCAAAACACAGATGCATTTAGGAAATATATTTCTTTCATATAACAAGGACTCATAACCAACAGTAATAAAAATATTTGACATTGAGTGTGCTTTCATCTACAACAACACAATGATTTCCTCATTTACTTCAACGTCTTAGGGACTTTTTCCCCCCGGAGACTGTTACAACACACTACTTTTTTTTATTAATTTATCTTTTTTTATTACTCTAAAGCTCCTTTGGGACAGCGTGTACTGTAAGCAACATACAAATACACCTTAATAAATCGTACAAAAGCTCATTAGAAAAACCCAAATCTCAAACACACTTCCTCATTTACTTCAACGTCTTAGGGACTTTTTCACCCCGGAGACTGTTACAACACACTACTTTTTTTTATTAATTTATCTTTTTTTATTACTCTAAAGCTCCTTTGGGACAGCGTGTACTGTAAGCAACATACAAATACACCTTAATAAATCGTACAAAAGCTCATTAGAAAAACCCAAATCTCAAGAAAACCATGAGATTTTGAAATTGTCTGAATTTATGGGTATGAGGTCAAAACTTCAATAGATCAGAGAACTGGGCTTTTGCCCTATACGATGATCGGATAAAATACACTGTTTAAGCATTTAAATGACCTTACATACTGTCAGTTTATTAATAATAATCAGTGCACATGTAAACACACTCAATGAGGCGGATTTCAAAGTTATTTAAAGGAATAGTTCACTCAAAAATGACAATTCTGTCATTATTTACTCACCCTCATGTCGTCTGAAGACAGTTTTTCCTATTAATTACCTAGACTGGGGTGGCCCATCTAATCTGTACCTCTACAGTTTCATTATAAACTGAAAAGTTTCATTATAAACTGATTAGTGTTTTTTTTTTTTTTTGCGGCATTGCTTTGGCAAAGCATCTACCATTTGGACTAAAATCAAAATATTTTTTCCAGAAATATAAAACGAATAATAATAATAATAGCTTATCAAAAAATAAAAGCATAGTAAATTTACTACTGTAAAGAAAAATAACTAATATATTTACTATGAAATATTTACATTTTATTTTACAGTGCAGGTGTATTACAACAATATAATAGCAATCAATATAATATTCAAAATGTGTTATGTTTGTTCAACAGAAGAAAGTAAGTCATACAGGTTTGGAACTACATGAGTGTGAGTAAACGACAGACTTTTCATTTTTGGGGTGAACTGTCCTGTTAAGTTATTTACTGTAAAAACATTATATGATTGTGCTTTTCTAAAGAACAAAATAAATGTCAAACTATTCTTTAATGTATTTTTTAATGTATTTGTACCTTTTGATTTATTTTTTTAAGTAATTTAAAGTGTTGTAGTAGAACGTATAGTACAACAAATACTTTAAATTAACACCTGGAATGTTCCCACAGTTCAAATGATGCTGGTTTGGGTCTGGCCTGCAACCTGTCCTAAATCCTATTCCCTCATCTTTGGTGATCATTTCACATTCATATTACCATCACTGTACCATGGTGCCAGTACAGTGCTTTTTGTTAAGAGCTGAATGGGAAAGACTGCATTGACAACAGGATGCTGTAAGACTCCGTCTCTAAAAGCCCACATTCCCCTTTTCTCTCTCCTTATCTCTTGAATTCCGGTGGGAAGTGGCACTGCGACATTCTCCTTTCATTTCCTCTCCCATTGCCAGGATGCGCAAGAAATGCCAAAACCCAGAAGTGCCTTGTTTAGCAGATAAAGAACAGCATGATGCAAAGCGACAGGAAATATCACTGAGCCAGAAAACATGCTGCACAGATGTTGAACATGTTGAGTCACAAAGAGTCACAGGCTGATTCAAAACAAGATTTTCAATGAATAAAATTTTTTTTTTAAATCTGTTATAGACAGGACTTGTTTTAAGTTATGGTGAATACAAAAAAAACTGAACAGACCTGAAATGTTTATATAAATAAATTTAACAAATCACAGATTATAAAGTGCATGTGAAATTGTTTCCTGTTCAAGTCCACTGAAATGTCCCAGCAGACTTCACACACGCCCATGAAATTCTCTGAACTCTCCCTGTCTTGCCTTTTTATATCTGTCGCCTACACAAGGGATATTTCAGTTCGGCTTTTTAAAGCACACAGACTCCCTTCAAATCTCCTGTCTGACCAGAGCACTGTGATTGAATCCAGATGCTGGGATCTGAAATATACATGCTTAGCCATTTTAAAAGTTTTATTCTGATATGAAAGATTCTTTCAAATTGTCTAAAGTGTTAGCACATATTTGCCTGTGTTCTATCTACGCCTATACAGTGACATCAACTTAAGCCACTCTCAAAATTGCCACTGCATTAGATGTGTCTTAAAAGATCATACCAAGGGATATCTTCAAACATGACTCTAGAGCTCTTCCCAGTCTAACGTCACCTTTTGGAACCATTTTTGCTAGATTATCAACTGGTGATTTTTAAGGATGTATAGGTCTAGAGTAACTACAGCAGTATTTCATAACATTAACTATGAGCATGCATGATCCAATAATGTTTGACTATGTGAAAAGGCATTTCAATATTTTTTTTTGTATTAATTTTTAAAAGTACACGACCATTCAAAAGTTTGGGGTAAATATCTTTAGTCACAAATCAAAAGTACTTATGATGTTACAAAAAGATTTCCATTTCAAATAAATGCTGTCCTTTCTATTCATCAAAAAATCCTGAATAAAATGTGTCATGGTGTCCACAAAAATATTAAGCAGCATAACTGTTTTCAACATTGATGACAAGAAGAAAAAATGTTTCGGTCCCACTTTATATTAAGTGTCCCTAATACCCGTGTACTTACATAATAACTAAATGTGTACGTAGTATGTAACCACAGTGTAAGTACATATTGGTACATAGTATCTACAGCTGTAATATTTGTGTAACTACACATATGTAAGAACCCACCGAATGGTATGTGCAAATACAAATGTGTAACAGGACATTGTTAATGTAACCCACAGTATTTCACAATATCACTGTTTTACTGTATTTTTGATTAAATAAATGCAGCCTTAGTAAGCGACTTCATTCACATTAAAAAAAATAAAATGTTAACAACCCCAAACTTTTGAATGGTAGCATATAGCTGTTGTTTTATGTGCTTGTGCAATCTTGCTTTTAAAAAATTGAAATAAATAAATGCCACTTGATTGAATGTTTTGTTTTCCATTTCAGTGACCTTTCTACATTTCTCAGTGTTCAGACTTGACTATTCTTATCACACTTTAACTGGAGTTCAAGGCTCAACACAAGAGAACACCTGCACTCTTCTGAACCTCTTAGTCAGAGTTCTGCTGATTCACTGTATTTTTCCTAGAAGCCTAATTTGCTGGCAAAGTCAAAGTTTGTCTACAGTGTACAATAGATATGAACTAAACCAGTCTGCTATAAATATGCCGAGACTTTGTACTTTATACTGATAAGGTTTAACAAATGGCATTACCTGGGGACATGCAATGCATGAGAGTTTGAAGAGAATATTACAAGAACTGTTAATAAGTGTCATGATATTCACAGTGTGCACAAATCTCATTAGAAAGCAGTTAGAAGCAACATATTCCCTTGACACAGGGCCAAAATACGTGGCCACCTGAACATCACACCCATATTTGATTGTTGAACAATTATTTTTAAAACCATGGCTTGATTGTTCAATGAGGTTTGGGTTTGAAGAGTTAGGCCTTTATGGCCCTTTTGCATGGGGCAATTGTGCATAAACGTACATAAATCTACCTTAAATGTTTGTTTAAGGAATTTGCACACCTGTATGACTGACTTTACCCTTTTGTCACTATAATAATTATAGCTGAATTAGCCAAATAAGGGTGTACATATAATTTTGGCCATGTAGTATATAATGACAATATCATTGTGGCTGACAATAAAAAATTAAGCATCATCACTAATATTATGCATTGACTGTCAATGGATAGTCAGTCTTACCCTCAGCATCAGTGGGTCTGGGGCTGCTCTCAGACTCTTGGTCCTGCTGGGTCTTGCATGCTTGTGAGTCCAGCTGCTGTATGATTGTAGGGCAGATATCATGCAGGCCACGTTCATCTATACGAGACTGTTCACTCATCCCATACACTGCCAAAGTGTCTGCAGCCAAGCACTGAGAACAGGGGACAGGACAGAGGTTTCAATTACTGATCACAGAGGAGAAGCTTGAATTACAGCATTGAGTGTGCACAGTTTGTCCTGGAGCACAGGCTAGAAACCACAGATTTGACTTTGAGGTCTAACAACTTTTCAAGGTCATACTGAGGATTAGGGTTCATAATGTTGAAAACATATCCTATAATAACTCTCTGAGGAAAGAGGGGGGGAAATAATATACTTCTTAAGCTGCGTTTACAAAAAGCTACATCTGAAGCGGAAATGAATCCGTTTTAAATTTGAAATTAGAATCATGAAATAAAAACACAAATTATGAATAATAAAATATACTCTGGTCATAACATTAAATTTGAATATATATTTTTGAAAAACTAAATATTTACAAAAATGAGTCAATTTTAGGTCAATTTAGGTCACAACTGTTAAGCTGCCAAAAATAAGTTAAAATCAAACCCAGGAAGCAGGTTATTATGTATAAAAAGAAAAAAAACAATCTTAAAGAAACAAAAAGACATGCAGATATCCCACTTGTGGTCCTTGTAAATATTACACATTTAGGCCTGGTTTCACAGACAGGCTAAGCCAGGAATAGGCCATAGTTCAATTAGGACATTTGGGCCTAAGTCACTCTGGTCATAACATTAAATTTGAATATATATTTTTGAAAAACTAAATATTTACAAAAATGAGTCAGAAAATGTATCATTCACTGAATTTAATGAAAAAGTTAGAACTTAATTTTAGGTCAATTTAGGTCACAACTGTTAAGCTGCCAAAAATAAGTTAAAATCAAACCCAGGAAGCAGGTTATTTTGTATAAAAAGAAAAAAAAACTCAAAACAATCTTAAAGAAACAAAAAGACATGCAGATATCCCACTTGTGGTCCTTGTAAATATTACACATTTAGGCCTGGTTTCACAGACAGGCTAAGCCAGGAATAGGCCATAGTTCAATTAGGACATTTGGGCCTAAGTCATTTTTATAAACGTGCTGAGAAAAAACATTACTGGTGTGTTTTTTGAGACAAAACAAAGGCACTAATATATTTTAAGATCAGTCAGTGCAAGTTTCTTTCAGTTGAAACAGCTCAGACTTACATTTTAGTCTAGGACTAGGCTTAAGCCTTGTCTGTGAAACCGGGGGTTAGTCTTTTAGCATAACAAATGCTCTCTGTGGAGGAGAAAAAATAATGACAACTCAATATGGCCTTTTATCGTTGTGGACAAACTGATAAATTACAACATGTCACTCTTGACTTTCTTACACCTTGAGAGGTGGCACAAGAGATAATGCCTCTGATAAAATACTTAATGACGTGAGAACACAACAAATGCTAAACCAAAGACAAATATTTGTGGCTTTGCCAACACTTAGGCAGTTAATATTGTAAAACCAAGAATTTATGCACTACACGGCCACACACATATACGCTACCGTTCAAAAAGTTAGCTGTATTTTTTGTCAAACTTTTATTTAGCACAGATGCATTAAACTAATCAAAAGTGACAGTAAATATTTGCACATTGCTAAAAAAAACGTTTAAAAAAAGTTAATTTTACTTGAACATCAAATCAGCATATTAGAATGATATCTGAAGGATCACGTGACATTGAAAGAAATACATTTTAAAATATAAAACAGCTATTTTAATTTGTAATATACCACAATACTATTGCATTATTGTATTTTTTTAGCAAATAAATGCAGCCCTGTAGAGCACAAGATTTAAAAAATCTTACCAACCCCAAACTTTTGAACAGTAGTGTAATCTTTGTTCGATTTATTTCATCAACATACTTATTGTACATTTATATCACATACATGTTTTCATCACATTAGTATCGACCAAAGATTCTACTGTAAATTGCCTGCCTCAATTAGAGATGTGAAGTAAGCCTTCTTGACTTATCTGGCCATATCTATATTTATGACAACTGACAATAATTTTAATCGGTTGATATAAGTAAAATACAGATAATTTATAATATAAATACAGATTATAAAAAAGCAGAGTGAGCTACTCTGCGCTATAACATCTGACCTAATCATTCACTGACTGGTGTTGTGATAGTTGCTGTAGCAGAGGATTAGACCTCTGTCACGTCTTGTAAAGCACCCTGAGAAGATCAAACTATTTTGTGTCAGGAGTGAATCAGGTGAGACACTGAGCTTTAAAAACATTTGAAACATCTCTCGCCAACCAAACAATGTGGATTAAAACAGGAAAACAGGTCTTTCAGATCAGCAAGTACAAATGGAACTTTTTAACTTGCCATAAAGGAGGGCCTTGAGAAATATTTTACATACAATCTAGAAACAGTCTTAGGCTAATGTCCATTGTTTGGATATATAATGTTCATGATAAGGATAAAAAAAATGAAATACAATGCAAAACATAAAACAGGTTTACAAAATGCAGTAAAAACAGAATGGGGAATTTTCTTCCAGTATTTCTAAATGCGTCTTGATTTTCATAATCAAATACATATATGTAAAAGAAGTCTTTGTATACTGAACTAGGGTTGGGCGATGTCTACCAAATTGGCATCGGACGATGTCCTAAAGTGTGTGAAATCAGAATTAACATGATTTGCTTGCTAGATAAATGTTCCGATGCATGTTATTAAAAAAAAAACAATGGTTTAGGCAAATTAAATTTGACTCCATTCGATGTACTTTAAGTACACAAAGTACAGTAAAAGATTTTTGTTTCACAAAGTGAAATAGTTAATAATAATAAAAAAAGGTAAAAATGGCAATAGAAATTAAATGGAAACGTTAATTTCTGTAAGTGCTATGAACTAACCACTGGACAGAATATGGAAATATGTGTCAACAAAAATGTTAAAACAATTAAAAGCTGAAATAAAATAAAATGTAAATGCTAGATGAAAAACAAACAAAAATTTAAAATGTTGCCTTTGCAACAAACTGAAAAAAATAAGTACTAAAATTACTAAAACTAAACTGAAAATAAAAACAAATGAAGTTAAAAATATTAAAAATATCTAAATAAAAAAAAAGTTTAATAATGCTAAATATAAATAATTATTATAATATCATATAATACTAAAATACTTAATATAAAATAATAAAATTTCACCATCCAGTTAGGCACATCAACCATAACAGCCAGAAACCTTGGAGTTATGATTGATGATCAGCAGACTTTCTCAGTCCACATTGCTAAAACTGCCCGGTCCTGCAGATTTGCTTTATTCAACATCAAGAAGATCAAGCCCTTTCTTTCGGAACATGCTTCACAACTCCTTGTTCAAGCTCTTGTTCTGTCCAGGCTGGACTATTGCAATGCTCTCTTCTCTTGGCAGGTCTTCCAACCAGTTCTAACAAACCTTTACAATTAATCCAGAATGCGGCAGCAAGATTAATTTTTAATGAGCCAAA